TTATTTCACTGATGGCCAATTGGAATTCGATTTAGAGAATGAGTTAAAAAAGTTAATGAAACAGAATCGTCAAATTGGTCCACATCAATAAAACATATATTTTATTCTCTTTTTGTTTTATGCTTTCACTGTTTGTTTTAAGTTGGCCATAATCCACCTGATATCTCTATGTCTCATCAATTTATAGAAACCTATCTTATCAGTTGTTTCTATCTCATTTTTGACCCAGTGGTCCTACTATAAACAATTTTATAGTTGAATGCATTGTATTCTCAGTAAGTTATTTTTTAAATAATATAGAAATAATTTGATGCTTTAAGAGCAGCCAAAGATGCTTTTGATAGCAAAAAGAGCCATTGTTAATAAGGACAGCAGGCTTTACCAAAGTGTGATTATACCACATCTACTGGGGATTATGGTCCTACGAGTAGGTGTGTCCTCCAGTATATAGCTCACCACTTGCCTTGATGCCATGTTGCCTCAAATTAAGAGGTTATGACTCTAGGAATCCTATCTCTGAAGTATAGGTAAATTATAGGAGGATATTAATATGTTTCTCTATTATCAATTTTCTGTAATTTAGCGGAAGATATATAGTTGATCAGGCCCAGGGACGGTTCTAGCACAGAGGTCGACATACTTTTTGTGTAAATGGCCAGGAGTCTTTTAGGCTTTGTGGGCCTTATGGTTTATCAGACCTACTCAGCTCTGCTGTTCTGGTGGAAAGCAGCCACAGATAACTTGTAAATGCAGGAGTGTGGCTGTGCTTCAATAGAACTGTATTAATGAAAACAAGTGGCTTACTTAATTTAGCCTGGAGCTACCCTTTTCCCATCTCTACTCTAGAGAAGCAGGGACCAGGAACATCAATGTACATCACTATGTTGTCTTTGTGCCAGAGGACAGGTCTCTAAATACCTACCGTAATTATAAGCTGACCCGAATATCAGCGGAGGCACCTAATTTTCCCATAGAAGCTGCCTTAAAAATGTGCTGAAAAACTTGGCTTATACACGAGTATATATGGTAAGTTGCCCACATATGAGGGGACTGCAAAAATTTTGTGGAAAGTGGAAGTAATGGATTCTTTCCATAAACTTTTTGAAGCTGTCTCATAAAAATTGAGACAGAGGTGTATTAACCCCCAGGTGGTGAAGGAATGCTGGCGCAAGATTGCTGGGTTAGATTTTTCAGAGGGATTATTATCATCCAAGATAATACAGTTATAACTACTGAACCTATTTTTTCCTGCTACATGAAATCAACTACATCTCTAGTTTGACAAAGTTTATTTGCATTAGTATAGAACAATAATCAATTATATTTCTGTCCAATTTCCAGGAGTTAGCATCTCCCTTGACATCGTTGCAATATCTTGAGTGAAAAGTAAGTCCAACGAAGTACTCTTCCTAATATCAGAGTGCTTCGTTTCATCCACCAGAGCTGAGAACTGAAGGAAATCGCTGCTTGATTTACAAATGCAGAGACAATAAATAGTTTATTAGCAACTTGGTTGATTTTGCACAAAGCTAAATGCTGTACTTTAATTTACTTGCAATCTTCTCCTGAAAAATGCTTCTCTTCTGCTCTGGTTTTGTTTTGAGATTTATTAGGGTGTCGTCTGGGTATTCATTCGTTGACAACAGTAGCCTCAGTCTACCGTCCTTGTGAGACAAGTACATTTTCGCTGCATCGGATTTCTAAGCGACTGGTTTCTGTGTGAGACTTCAAGATATGTGTTCCGGTTTCCTGCTGTGTAACAAATAAGCTCAGAGCTTAACCCAACCATGTTACTGTGCTCATATAACCTATGGAACAGGAATTTGGTTTCTGCTGGTCTTCAGGATTGATGGTCCATTTGTTTTTGCTGTGTAAAAATATAAGCCCCAAACTCAGAGGCCTAAGCCAACCATATTATTTGGCTCATATAGCCCATGGGCCACAAATTGGGGGGAGGGGCCAGGGGAGCACAGCAGAGATGTTTAGCCTCTCTCCAGGCTATCTCAACCTTCCACTGGGAAAACTGGCAGATAGGAAGTGACCTGAAGGCTAGCAAGTGGAATCACCTGAAGATTCATTCTCTCAAACCTGGTGCTGGGTTTTAGTGGCTAGAACATGTATGTGTGGCTTCTCTATGGGTCAGCCCCCTTTCAACACGGTGCCTCCAGGGCATTGAGACTTCTTATGTGGTGTCTACAGCAAAAGGACAGGCAGCCCTAGGTTCTGAACACAGACAACTCCTACTTGTCTTTTAATGCTATGTAAATTTGCCCTCACCTTGAAACAATTGAACCAACCAGTGGTTACAGTTTCTTCATCATAATCACCCTCACCTCCACTTGTGCACACACAGTTTTTAAATCTTTGAAAAGGCTTTGAAAAGGCTTCATGCATGACTCATAGCAACCTTACATGGGGGTTTCCACTGCTATAAATTTTCACGGGAGCAGATAGACTTGACTTTCTTTCAAAGGGAAGCTGTTGGAATTGAACTGCCTAATTAGCAGTTAGCAGTCCAACACTTACCAGCTGATGCTATTAGAACCTTTTTTTTTTTTTTAAGTAGAGTAAGGTTAAATAAGAACTATATGCACCTGTTCCCACTTAACTAAAAGTTCTTAAAGAGACCATTATATATGTACCTGGAAGTGTGTACTGTATTCTAACAGACAAGACAGAAGCTGCTTTGTGTTTCCTGACAGCTTTGGAAGGCACAGAGCATCTCATCCATTTATTGTATTGGTCAAAGCAATCCGAGCCTAACCAGATGTAAGAGGATGCGACAGAGATCCTACCTCTTGCTAGGAGAGTGCCAGGATCACATTAGAGTAAAGCATACGGGCTAGGAGCTAGTGATGTGGACTTCCTTGGAAAACAAAATGTGCTACCATGAGTGGCTCCTAGTTGACATTCAACTATGAAATTAAATTCGTTCTGTGGGGGTCAAGGCGATTTCATTATGGCCGAACTATGTCATGACCCTGCGCTTAGCTAGTCACACCATTTCTTTGCGATAGATTTTTCTTTACTGTTTTTTTCTTTTTCTTAATGTTGCATTTTTCTAGTTTAGGCTCAGTGCTGCACTGATAAAACTGCTTCAGTATTTAATCTATTTCCAGGTCCCAAATCATTTTCATAGGTGCCCACCAATTCCCTGTAAATGAATTCAAAAAGCTTTTGAAGCATGACTGCACCAGCTAAGGCAAATCTAAATGTCAACCTTGAAAGTATTCAATGACATTCAGATGTATCACTGGCAACACTAGAGGACTTGTTTTTTTAGCACGTAGCATATCGTGTCTAAAGACAGCCACAAATACGGCCTTTCCCATTCAGCTTCTTTGTGTCATTGAGAGTGCTAGCACTTTAGAGCCAAGCAGACGTGTAGTAATCCCAGTTGCCCCATTTAGTGTGTGGCACCGAGTAAGTTTCTTATAAACGGTGGGCTCATTTTCTCTACTGTAGTCTATATATCTTGCATACATGAGATGAATCCCACTTGGTCATGATCCAAGTGGGATTCATCTCATGTATGCAAGGATGGTTCAACATTAGAAAAACAATCGATGCAATCCATCGCATTAATAAAAGGATGCCCTTTATCACCACTCTGTCCAATATTGTGCTGGAAGCCTTAGCCAGAGCTTGCAGGCAACAAGGCAGCGAAAAACAGGAAGAGCCTCAACAAGATAGACTGACACAGTGGCTTCAACAATAGGCTAAAACATAGTAATTGTGAAGATATGTCATTATGAGTCTGAACCAACCTGATGGCACTTAACAACAACAGGAAACAAAAGAAAATCACAGGCATCCGAATTAGAAAAGACATAGCTTAACTCTATTGTCAGATGATGTGATCCTTACTCACTGCTATGCAGTCAATAATGACTCATAATAACCCTCTAGGGCAGAATAGACCGGCCCAATGAGTTTCTGAGACTGTAACTGTTTACAGGAGTAGAAAGCTCCATTTCTCTGCTGAGGAGTGGCTGGTGGTTCTGAACTGCTGACTTTTCAGATTGCGTCCCCACATGTAACCACTACACCACCAAGGTTCCAATATGACCCTATACATATAAAATTCCAAAGATTCAGCAAGAAAATTGTTGGAACTGGTAGAAATATTCAGCAAAGGGGCAGAGTACCAGATCAACACATATAAGTCTTAGTCAGATTCCTTTATACCCTTTTTGAGGGAGTGTTTTGTCACCATCTCACCTTCCCCTGGATGGTGTCTTGGTTTCCTAAGGCTGCTGTAACAAAACCCACAAAATAGATGATTTAAAGAACATTAAGTTATTGCTTCGCAGTTCTGGAGGGTAGGCATCTAATTCAGGGCATTGGCTAGACTATGCTCAATCTATGTGTTCTTGGGGACAGCCTTCTCTCCTCCAGCTTCTGGTGGCCCCAGGGGTCTCTTGGCACTTCTTTGTTAATATATGTGTCTTCCCATGGTGTCTTTCCCCTATGTGACCCTTTCTCCATGTCTATTTTCTCGTTTTCTAAGACCACACTCAGAAGGGATTAGGATCCACTTTATATGTTACAAACAAGATCACATTCACTGGTACAGGAGTTAGGAGTGCAGCACATCTTTCTCAGGAGACATTCTATTAATAACAGAAAGTGATTGGGTTGTTAAAAATGCAGTAAAAATAATTGGATTCCAACGAGATAGATAGCCCTTTACTGATCACCACAGGGAAGCATATCTCATTCAAAAAAGTACATACATATATATTTTTTTATTTTTAGTACATACATATTTTATTAAATGTTTTAAATCTTTGGGAATGTATGTCATGTAAAAATGAAACAGAACACAGCATAGGATTGTTAACTTCTTCAGTCTCTCCATTATTTCCTCACTTAAAAAGCTCTCTTTAATCTTCAATTTTCACAATAATCATTATAAATATAAATAACATGTATTGCATGATTTTAGAACTGTGGTAAAGCTCTAATTGACCTGGATTTACTATCTCTCTGGGTGGCAGGTGGTGAAGTTCACTAAGTCCTTTGAATTGATGTCCCCAAGGTGCAGCGCCGATGCTGACAACAGGTAGGGTTTATGGACTGCATGTTTGACTCTGATCTTTGATATGTGCAACATCGCAAGCTTCTTTCAAAACAGGAGTTGTGTCTTTCTCTATATCAGCAAGTATAACCAAATATTACCCCTTTTCTGTATTTCAGGACTTAAATGCAATTTTTAGTATAAAAATACATGCATATATATCTAGCTTGTGATTAGTTTCCAAGACCAAATTATAGTACCAGCTATATGATTAAAATATTACTTTTTGTGTTTAGTCCCTTTATTTCCTCTAATCTTGCAGTGTTTTTGAAAATAATTTTTTCTGGGCCTTGTATCCAAGTCTTGTTTGCAGGCTATTATGGAATTGTGATGGAAAATCCCTGTTGTCTGTTTGTCAACAGATTTAACTTCTATCCATACCAAACATTTGACTGAAATTCTAACAAAGAGAGTCTATTTTTAAATATTTCCTAACTGCAGATATCCTAATATCTATCTTGTTGTGGGCCATGTTTTTCTATTTCCCTTTTATTTTTCTAATATTTGACTAATAACATCCCTCTGTTAAAAGAACAAGAATTTTTAGAAATTCCATTTCTGTCCCTGTTGGCATTTCTGAGGTGAAGGTCAGGGACAATCAAATAATTCCTGTTAGCTTAGAGCTGCTGCGTTAAAAATGAATTCGCTTTACTTTGTTCCCTTCCAGGGGAAGGGTTAAAAAAGTATCGAAACTGACAAAATTTCCAAAATATGGGAAAAGCCAGTTAAGTTCCTGAGACATCTGATGACAATGACAATGATAAAGATCCTGATACTAATACAAAGATGTGAGCAGCTTCTTTTCACTGAAGGCTAAGAGTGCTGGGAACTGCACTAACTGCTTTACATGCATTGAACTCCCTATGAAGTAAGCATCTTTACCCACTGCATGACAGAGAACATTGAGATTCAACAGGTTTAAGTCACTTGTTCTAGGCCTTGCTGTCAGTAAGTGGTAGCCACATCCAAGGGAAAGATCATATAAAAGACTCTCCAAACCTTTGAATTTGATCCTATTGCCAGCTACAGTCTAAGATCTGGTAGTTGATCACATAGAAAATCTATTTGGTTAATGCTTCCCAAATCTGGCCGAGCTTTAGAATCAGCTTGGAGAATTTGGCAAAAAGTAAATTCTCAGCAGTGCATTACAAGATTCTAATTCTTTATTCTGAACGTGAGGTCTGAAAGTATGTACTGAAATGATCTCCAGGCTTTACCTGTATCAAGATATAATATGCAAGAATAAGTTGATTGCCTATGAGTTCAGGTAGAGGAAATCAGTTACAAAAGGGGGCATTTTATTTGGTTTCTTCATTTATTTTTTTATCAAGTTGTGATGTTTATAAGAGGATTTTTCTACCTTCTAAATGATTTCATTTATAATATATTCTTGAAAAGGCAAAAGTGTAGAAATAGAAATAAACAAAATACGGTATTTCTTTGCAACGCAATAGTCATTCAAATATGAAAAGCTGATCCATGCTACAACATGAACAAGCTTTGAAAACATTGTACTGAATAAAATAAATCTGATGTAGAAGGTTAAAAAAAAGAAAGAGAGAGAAAAAGAAAGAAAACAGATCAATAGTTGTCAGGGCTTCAAGGTGGGAGAAATGGGCTGACCACACAGGAGCACAGAAGAATTTTGGAGTGTGATGAAGCGGTTCTATATTTGATTGTGGCTCTATGTATTTATCAAAACTTACAGAAATGTTTGCAGGAAAGTGGTAAATTTTCATGCGTGTGGGTTATGCTTTAAAATGGGGGAAGGGAGGCCTTTCAGAAGTAATTTTCAGTTTCATGTATTTATAATATGTAGAGAGACATAGACATAGCCAGCTAATCTCTACCTAACAAAGATACTTAGACAGAGTTATTAGTGCTGTAAAATAACTATGTGTATACATATTAATTAGCTGTGACCTCATATATGAAGAGCAAAAGCTTTCTGGAGTTATTAAAACCTCAACCTTTAAAATCTCAATGCTTCAATGTTGTTCTTTTTTATACAACTGAATGTGTTCCCATAGTGAAGGCACAGTTAAATATTTCTGATCTTTTGATGATTTTTAATGGTGAAAAAATGTCCATATCTAAATTAAATGATCCAAACTATGGTTGGAAATTTTTCTTATTTTTTAAAAAAAGAAAGGAAAGTAGAAGGTCAGATTTTATTTAAAGAGAATTTGAAAGGTGCCTTTGAACTTTGACACTTTGACCTCATCTTCTCCAGTATTCTATTTATGGATTTTAAATTGGTGTACAGTGTACACTGATCTCAGAGACCTTTCCTGGACTGTCTAGTGATTTTTCTCTGTAGAACTAGGATCCTTCAATCATTTATTGGAAGGTAAAGGGGTAAAAACAAATGACTCTAGCATGTAGTTGCTCACTGCCCATGGACGAAACATTGAAGCAAAGCACAAGTCAACAAATCACAGTCAACCCTAAACATACAGTATATCTTTCCTGTACTCTTTCATCATGCAACTTCTTTGCCACAGAAAAATGTTCATTTAGACACTTTAGTCCTCTCGGTATCATCTAGAAGAGGTATAATTAAATAGCTTTTTAAAGAGTCCTTCTATGGCTTCATGAAACAAGATTTCAGAGCACTATTCTGACTTTAATGAACTCTGGTTTAGGGATTTCCAATTTTTACATATAGTTTTTGAAAATTTTAAAAGAATATTTTTAAAACTACTGACTCATTTCTGTTTATGTCTTTTGTGACTAACTCCCTTGTCACAGCTAGTCTCCTCTTCATCTCCATGTAATTAATACCTACCAATTCAAGAGTTGGAAAGGATTGATTCATTCTTCTCCTTAATGTGTGTACCTCCTCTGGGAGATTGCTGTTAGCAACTTCAGTAATAAGATTCTCGATGTACAACAATAGCCCAATTCAAAACAACAGAAAACAACAAATACTAGAGAGGGTTTAGAGAGATGGGAACTTTTATATACTTCTGGTGGGCTTGTAAACTTGTGTAACCAATATGGACAGTGATATGGTGCTACCTAAAACAACAGGGAATAAAAACACCATGTGACTCAGCAATACCTTTGCAATAAGAGGCAGAACACAACCAGACGCATGCTCTCCCATGTTCATTGAAGCAAAGTTAACAATGCAAGAAGATAGAAACAGCCCAAATGAACATTAGTGTAAGAATGGATAAAGAAACTCTGGTACATACACACAGTGCAATACTATATATCCCTAAAAAGTAGCTCTGAAACATAGCTGGAATATGACATAGATGGAGCTGGAAATCATTTTGCTGAGTGAGGTTAGTTAATCACAAAAAGACAACTATTGTATAAGTCTATCACTATAAGGAAAGACACCAAGACAAAGGCAGGCTTCTGCTCTCAGGTCATGTAATCTTATAATCTGGTCTCCCAAGCAATACGGTAGTGTGCTTGCTTAATGCCCATGAACTATATATATATCACCCCTTTCATATGTGCATCTTAAAACCACTTTGATGTAGGAGATCTCGCCTCAGTTGGAGTCACTTTCTCAAATCTGGGGGAGAGGGCGAAGACCATTCAGTTGTTGCCATATAACATTGTGCTGAGTTCACCAATCCACAGATACTCCTACAAGAGTGATAAGCAAACCTTAATGGGAATTTGAGTCAAGCTGTGGGGTGAGGCGCATGTATGTCTCAAAGAAGGTGATCACACTTCTGTTGGTGGGAAACCTGTTGGAGCAACCTCACATTGGGGGTGGAAAAAGAAAACCACTTGGCAATACTTATAGGGACCGCAAGAGGAGACTATGTCATGTACTGTGACCCTAATTGGACACTTTTGACCTAATTTCTATCCAGCCCTTGGTGATCCAGGCCAAGTGCTCTACCCCACTAGAACTTTAGACTTGGTGTTAATTGAAGCCCACAACCTCCTTAATAGGCCACACCAGAAGGATTCGATGTAGAAACCCCATGAAGTGAATTGGGCTTTACCTCAGACTCTTCAGTAGCAGATTTAAGGATCCGACAACATAATCTTTGGATTTACAGTTGAACTGCCCTTAAGTGTGAGAAGAAGCAAATAACTGCTATCCCAATTATGGAATTGGTGGTCATTGGAGTCTGAGGGTTCCCACTGAATGGTGGCCCATGGCCACCATATGTTTACTGTTTTAATGCTCTCCTTGTTTCCTTTCAACACGCCTTAGTCTCACAGGCAGGGTTCTCCCTTTGGGAATGAGAGTTATTGAAAGTTTTGTCCTCTCACCAATCCCCATTGCTCGTGTAAATAGTATTCAGTTAGTTAAGCATTTAATTTGTACAAGTCAACAACTCATGCATTGCTGTTTGAAGCTTGCCTATACTTGCATAACTTCGTTTTTTCAACAGTGTTTTAGATTCTATACCACTAGCTAAGTTAATGACACTATCAATATTGCTCCTGGGGGATGATTTATAATGTTCTGTCATAACATAATAATGTCTCTAAAGTGAACTAGAGACATAAATAAGCCATAGATAGATGGATGGATTTGGGGATTTCACTTGATTCTTGACCCAATCTAAAAACAGTTTATATGATGTAGCCTTGCTTGGTACTTGCCCTCATGAAGCGATCTGAAGATGCATTAAATTGTTGGCTTGTATAAATAGCAAAGTGTGGTGAAGAGACCAGATGGTGCCCAGCTATCAGAAAGAATAGCATCTGGGGTCTGAAGGACTTGTCTTAAACAAGCAGCCATCGAAGTCGACATGGAAGAAGCACACCAGCCTGTATGATCCAAGGATTGTAAATCATAAAATAGATATTCTGAAGAAGGGCATGGTATCAGTGCTTAAATTATGAACATTTAATGACCAACAATTATATAACTTTGGTATGGCAATCATCTGCTTCTCCTTATGCGAGGGTAGTTCAGCCTTAAGTTCAAGGAAGTATTCCAGTTCTTTAAATCTGCTACAAGTGAGTTTGAGGGAAAGCCTAGTTCATTTAGTGAGGTTTCT